TCTCTAAAGAACTTTTTTTTAAAACATTTCACCCCAAGCAAGACACAGGAATGCCACTAGCACTCAAGGGATTACAGAGAGTGAGAGCAAGAGTAAAGAGGCGTGATAGAGGAAAGAATGAAGAGAAAGACGAGGAATAGATGAAGGCATCTGAAGATGTCGATTGACATTGCATTTGGATATGTGGAGATTATAGCTATCAGGAAAGCAAGTAAGAGGAAGGGAATTCCACAGGCGGGAAGTGCGAGACATGAAGCTATTGGTGTAGAAGAGACGGCTACATTTCACCGTTTCAACAGTGAAAGGGTGGGACTGAGGTTCTAACCTAGTAGCACTTTTAAATTCATGCAGTTCGGGGGAACCAGCGAAAGTAGCTCGTCGGAGCAATGAAAGTATTTGTAGAAAAGACAGAGGGAAGCAACGGCATGTTTGTGAGAAAGCGACTGTAAAGGAGATGCCAGATCAAGGCCAATCACATTGCCTATCCGTCTTTGGATTTTGTCGAGGACCTTAAGACGAACAGCGGGGACTCCTAACCATATATGGCAGCAGTTTTCCATGCAAGGGCGAATGGTTGATTTATAGATTTGAAGGATGGACTGGGGCGGGAAAAAACTTTCTGGCGCGACATAGAGAACCAGCACAGATGGAAGATAAAGGCATCATTAATAAGGTCACTGGACCGACACAATGGATGAACCCCTTAATAATTGTGGGGAAAAAATATGGAAAAATTAGGACTTGGGACCGAAACAGGGCCATTGAAAGACTACATTACCCAATGAAAACCGTTGAGCATGTACTTCCCTGACTGACCGGAGAAAAGGTTTTCACCAAACATCAATCTTACTCGCTATTTGGTCAGGTTTCCATAACTTGCTGTTTTGTTGAAGACGGATGTTTTCTCCTTCTAGTAGTGAGGGCTGTAGTCGACAGGACTTGTATATTTTAGATGATCTGTCCTTCTATGCAGGCATCAGTAATTTTGTCTCCTCGTGGTCCATGAATTTGGGCTTTAGCTATCCAAGAAATGCAGGGAGTACTGATCAAAGATGGCGGCCTTGAAGGATCTCTGCAGAGGAGTACCCACAGTCACTGGTTAGGGTATTACGATACTCAAGTATGCCCAAATTTGGGTCGCCGTTACCACCCTTTGCCTTCTGGAAGATCCTCTTGACTGTACTGTCTGTTCATTCAGGCCGTTGGATTGGCGGTATTTTGGGCAAGTTCATGGCACAGTGGGTAAAGGCGTTAGTTAGATCCAGTGAAAGGACCCAAAGAGTGTAAGTTCAATACCCGGTTAAGGCAGTGGAGAACTTGGTGAGAGGGGAATTAACAGGAGATAACTAACTGACATCCATTAAACATGGCACGTGGAACTAGAACAGTCTACCCCAGTGAGCAAAATAAAAGGTTCAGTTCGACATTCCAACCACCTGAAGAAGGCCGGAGCGTAGCAACGGCCGAAACGTTGTAATAAATATGGCGACAAAGATGAGGGCAATAGTCCGAATAATGTAAATAATGTGAATTGTGAAATATAATCAAGGCTGTGCATTTTGATACTGTCCTAGGAATATGTGAGTGGCTTGTGGTCAGTGTATATGGTAAAATGTCGACCTTCAAAGATATGCCGAAAGCGTTTTAGTGACAGGTAAATTGCCAGAAGTTCTCTTAAAATGGCACTGTATTTTTTATGTCGTATTCGGTTTGAGAGAAAAGAAGGAAATGGGTTTAGCTTCACCCTTTCTAAATTGATGTACGACAGCCCCAACAGATTCTAACGATGCTGTTGTGAGCGTGAATTGAGTTTGTGGTTGCTCAACTAAATAACTCAATTTCCTAAAATTTGCTAAGGCATTTTTAGCATCATTGAAGACGTCTAGGGTAGGACTTTGTAATATGATTTTTGCATTTATTTCTCTTGTTGTTTTTTAATAAATTGGTAAGAGGGTGTACCATTGTTGAACATTTCGATATAAATTGACGATAAACCAATAAATCAACCTCTTTGCCTGGGTGATACCAGCTGGGGAAAATTTTGTATTGTGGTGATTTTCTCTAGTGAAGAAGATATGCCCGTTTCACCTATTTCAAAGACTTGATGTAAGCGGTGATAATGTTCCTTTTCATTTTTACTTGCAATTAAGACATTGTCTATATATGCATAAAGTAAAAGGTAAACCAGGCAGAACTTCGCCGTTTAGTCGTTGGAAAGATTGTGCTGCGTTGCGTAAACCGAATGGAATTCGAACGAACTCAAATAAACCGAAGTGAGTGGTCACGGCTGCCTTGGATATGTCCTCTTCTGCCACTGGAATTTGATAATAAGCTTTTATTAAGTCCAATTTCGTAAAAATCCGTGTCCCTTTTAAGCTCAGGTTAAAATCATGGATGTGTGGGATCGGATACCTATCTGCTGTACTGACTGCATTAAGATGGCGGAAATCTCCACATGGGCGTCATGCAGTGACGTTTGGTTCTAACATTTGTTGGAATTCTGCTTTGTAATTTTATATTTCTCAGGACTCAGTCTCCGCTGGATAGAATGAGTTGGCTCTCCGGTGGTTTTTATATAGTGTTTTGCAGAGTGATACTGTTGCGAATGGGTGATGTGTGTTGGAGAGGAATAGAAGGTTTGAATTATCAGAAGGTTTAAATTTGTGTGTGTTCAATAATCTTACATCCACAACAATTAATACAAGACAGAGAAATAATGATTCATAAACATCTTGTTTCAAAACGTAACAATTGAATTTATTAGTGTTTGATATGCATGCATGTGAACTGAAAAGTTAGACAGAGTTGTGTCTCTTAGATTAGGTAAATATTTGTATTCGAGCTCATAAAGTGAAAGTAATTATAAAACTGTAGTTTAGAAGAATAAAGTTTCTTTGGCATGTTTGGAATTGTGTATTGTTCAGAAGGTTCAGAAGAGATTTCAGAGTTCGTACTTGCGTGAATATTGATAATGGTCTTTAACGTCTGACTGCATTAGTTAAGACGGGAGTTCTTGAAGATTACATGTTGGTACTTGGTAGCAAAGAATGAGACGTGAGAGAGATGAATGAAAAGAAAAGAAACTCGAGGGAGTTTACACGTGTTCTGTTTATATATCATCGTGAATCACGTGACTGGCTCAGATGGAAAACGGTAAAACAGATTTATCGCGTGCAGGCGGTTTGATTGGTCGGAACTGACTGATCAGCAAGCTAGATTGAAGGTGATTAACCAATGAATGCTTGTCATATACTCACTTACAGGGAATAGTTTATTTATCCACGCAGGGGTTTAACTGTCTGACGTGCAAGATTCCACAATACACTTTGTCAGTGTATTTGAAAGAGTTTTGATATCCGGAAAATTTTAAGAAGCTTTTGGTATGTTTCATTCTCAGGGAAAACTGTTGTTTTTTTCCACTTGTTGCGGGCGTATGCTGGTTATGCTTTGGTAGAATTCCATAACAAAATGGCGGACTCGAAATATGATTATGAGTAAAAAATGAAAATGTAATAACAAAACTATATACATTGTTATGGGACCTTACCCATAATAACATAATGGACTAGTCCATACGTAATAAATACTGCGCCTCAAGAGGAAGCGGAGAGTTCCGTCTAGAGTTCAGTCTGAAGTCTGGAGTGAAGTCTGTCAGGAGTCTGTCAGTCAGAGCGAGCGAGTCAGTCAGTCGAGTCACAGGCAGTCCGAAACAGAGTCGCGTTCAGACAATTACTACTAAACCTGATTGTTCGTACTAACACTTTCTACTTCTCTGTACATATTCCTGTTTGTGATATAACTGTGTTATTCCATATCCGTATTCGAGTTCTTCTTTATTGGTTCTACCTTGGACTATCACCGTGGTACAAGGAACCGGACCATAACATACATAAACAAACGATAATGTATATATCAACAAACAAACGTATACATAGACAATTGAAGATTGTTGCGTGTTACAAAACAATGAAGATGATAGAAGAAAGCACTTAGTGAAGGTGTTTTGTAAAAGCAAGTGTAACAATCGTCTGTGATAGACACGTGTGTATATATGCATGTGTGTGAGAGAGTTCAAATGTCAACAGAGGACCAAGGGAAGCGAACGCGCTTCAGCGGCAGCGTTCTTATCTACGTGCAACCTACATCTTACCGTCCCTGGGTGAAATAGGAAAAAGAGAATGCCAGTGAATATCACTGTCTATTTATAGACTTAGAGAGCGTCCGCTAGCGACGTCTTTTTTTTTAATGTAAGTGGGGTAACTCCACACACTCGAGTTGTGGACTACGCTACAGATTAATCAAGAATGGATTTGCGGATATAGTGTTGGTAGGTAGGATTTTCTTTACTGGAAAATTTGGAATGAAACGAACTGACTCAAGTGTTTAAAATAAATAATATATTTTTATTTATTTTTTTTACAGTGATGAGCGAGTTATTTGGGATTCGGTGTAGCAAAAAAATTCTTAATAGGGCGGATAGTTGTAGCATTCTAGAGAAATATTCGTTACTGGTAGTTCGAAGTCAGACCATAATAGGGATAATAGTAATCTTAGAAATAGGTTAGTGTCAATCTACTGTGTTTCTAGGCCCTAAGCAGGGCAGAAATATCATTAGCAGATGACCTCTTCACTACTTCATCACGCGTCATGCATGGCTAGTTTCCCAGGGATAGCATTGTTTTGTTTCATCACTCTCGCCGTCTACCCTCCTTCTAGCTTAGAGGTGTCAGTTTATATCAGTTTGACCAGGCTCCAAGACTCTGGCGGAAACATAGGTTTCGGCTAGCATCAAAAGTTTCTTTGTGTCAATTTTTTGCTTGGTCAAAATTATTTTATTTTCCGCTGTTCCTTTCTTTTTCATTTTTTTTTTTTTTTTTGTAACAGAACCTTTTGGTATTTTTCAGCCACAAATAAGTAGGCTCTGATCTTGCAAACTTTCGGCGTTCGGTCGGGTTCAGTTTTTTTCTTCTTCCTCTTTTTATTTGAGAGTTGCCTTCTCATTAGTTGAGAGAAGTATAGAAATAAAAGTTTAGGTAGGTAGATAGATAGATAGATAGATAGATAGAGAGAGAGAGAGAGAGAGAGAGAGAGAGAGAGAGAAATAAGCATTTTAACAGAAAGCGCAAATATCTTATTTTAATTTGAATTCTTTTTACTTTTGTTAATATATATTCATTTTTTATCGGGACTCACTACAGATTGATAGAAGGAATGATTTTTGGAGCTATATTTTTACTGAGGGATTTGTTACGTCGGCCCTAAGACAGCAACGCCACTAACTATAGAAACATGAAAAAACACAAACATGGAGTTCTAGAACAAACAATAACAACTATATATAAAAAGGGACATTAGCGCTGTGGAAAAGGATGAGTGTTTGTCAAAGCAATTAATTCGTTGTGGGATCGGCAATCCTCAGTCATAAATCACACGTGTAAACTTTTTATTTTTATTTTAGTATAATAAATCCAATTAGCGTTAGTTCTCGTGTCAAATTCTCGTCCGTGGGTAGTCACTGAAATTTTCAGCGCCAGTGTGTCATGCAGATGTGTCGTTCCTGATAAGTCGATGTAGTTGCTTTCTCCGTCTGTCGCTATACTGTGTAAATGCTAAGTTTCCTCTGCTTATATCGTTAAAGATAGGCTCAACTTGACCAAAATTTTAAATTCTCGATCTTCCGTTTGACTGGCTAATATTGAACCCTTAGTATTGATTTGCTACTTTACTTAAACTAACGTTACGTTACGGCGTTTAAATATCTAAGTTAATTAATACTTTAATTAATGCTACACCCCCTCACTACACAGGAAAATATCTTTCAGGTTTTGAGAGGTTTAACACTTTCAAGTTTTAATTTTTTAGAGAAAAATGTTCTGATAGTTCTTTTTAATTATCTGAATCTGAATAAATCCGTTTATTCAAGAAAACTTAATTTAAATTTGAATCATATTTTGTGAGTTCAGCGCAAAATCTACATTATTTTTTTTTATCTGAAAATCAGATTCAAATCTAAACAAACAAACTTCAATTTCTGCTACGTGAATTAAACAGAAAGTGAGTTTGCAAATGTCCAATTAAAATGTCACTTAGGTTTGTTTATATTGGCTGGTTTAAAGAGCTTAGAAGCGAAAATAATTGGATGAAATAATTACTTGATTTGTTTTGCTTTCTCAAGGCTTAACCCAAATAAACAAATGTTCCAATGAACAAGGGAGTTATTTATCAAAAACTATTCATCTAGTATGATGGCCAACAAGATGAACACATTGACCATTACAGGTGAGTAGTGAGTTCAATACTCACTGAGTGACTTATACATACGACTTTTGTTATATATACAATTTTTCTTCGTCTTCTTCTATGTGCCGTGTCCCTTCAGGACGTGAACGATCATGTCCCTCCGCAACTTTTTATCCTTTATTTCTCTTAAGAATGTTTGTCTTTTCACCATCCCACGCACTCAGTGTTTTGCCAACCATCGACACAAACTTTTGAGGGAGATTACTCACTGTTTCCCCGCTGTCTCTCTTGCCTACAATTTTTTCTTGTGAGTGTCAAAATGCGATATTTTTCAAAAACAATGAAATACATTTTAAAAATTTCCTCGTGGATTCTATTTCAATTATATTCCATTTTAAAATAGCTTTTTGAAGAAATAAAAAAAAAATTCTGTCTTGAAAATTGAACAAGATATAGGATTTCAATAAAACTCTGAGCAGAATGGTTGGCCATTTCCCAATAAGAAATCCTAAACGCGATGAAAAATTATAGTTTGAGAGAGTGAGAGAGAGAGCGAGAGAGAGTGAGAAAGAGATAGTGAGAGAGAGGGAGAGAGATGAGAGAGAGTTAGAGAGAGAGTGAGAGAGAGAGTGTGTGTGTGTGTGTATGAGAGAGAGAGAGAGAGAGAGAGAGAGAGAGAGAGAGAGAGAGAGAGAGAGAGAGAGTGATTGGTTCCCTCTCAAACCCCTACACTAACTGTAAATGTTTCCTTTAAATTCTGTCAATGGCAACATCAAATTTTTAATTAATCATTTAGAATAAAAAATTCACTGACAATCAACACCACCAGATAACCAGAATTTATTAGAAAAAATTACATACATCCAAAAGAAGACAGTTTTTACGAATGTAGTGTTACTAAAATAAGTCTTGTCTCATTTACATATAAGCGCATTGACGTATATAAATATGTGTATATATATATATATATATATATATATATATATATATATATATATATATATATATATATATATAAAATATGTTGTTGTGGTTCCAACGAGAGAAAAGTATGTATATTAAAAAGAAGAGGGTGCCGCAAACGTTTTTGGTTGTAATGTGGATTTATTGAGAAAAATATTATACTTTGTTTTACATAATTTCACGACACGTGTTTCTGGTCTGGTCTCGCAACCGTCTTCAGGTGAAAGTGGAGATTTTACATATTATTAAAAATAATTAATTTTTCTTCATGTTCATTGTGGAATATTCTCGATATGAGACATTCTGTTTGTGTGTTGGCAATCCGAATTTTCTTTCTAGAATTGTCAATGAAGAGTTCTGCGTGAAGGGTCATAAAACAATTAAGGTTTGTCCAGCGAGTAGTTATCGGCATTTAATCTTTTAATGTTTTAGTGACCTCTATGTGCTCTTGGATCTGTTTCTATTTTGGCGTGTTCCTGTCAGCATGCGTGTATATATGCGTGAATTTCTTTCGCGAGTTCAATACCTTTGTTTATTAGTGTTGTGGGGTAGCCTCGTTTCTTGAGAGTTTTATGTAGTTCTTCTAAGCGGATTTTTCGGAGATGTTTATCAGTCACTATTGTACAAATTCTACGTGCTAGGGAATAGGGGATGGATTTTAGGCAGCTTTTTGGGTGATGGCTCTTGAAATGAACGTATTGTTGGGTGTCTGTGGGTTTGTGGTAGATATCTGTGATTATGTGGTTGTTTTTATTTCTAATGAGTATATCTAAAAATGGTAATTCGTTAAAATTATATTCTTGCGAAAGAAATTCCTCTAGACCAACTTAGAAATAAAAAGAAACGTAACATCGAACAAACTCTAGCATATGTCTCAACGTACAACAAAAACAACCCAGAAATATTCCCAGAAATCACAAAAAATCTAGATTTACTTAGCAAGAATATTAAACTGAATAATATACTAAAAACAACCAAAATAATTAAGAGCAAACGCCAATCTAGAAACCTAAAACACATATTAACCTCATCTAAATTTAGTCAACACAAAATACAGGGAGTCACAAAATGCAACAAAAAAAGATGTGGAGTTTGTGACATCATTATAGAAGGAAACTCCTACACTTTTGAAAACCCAAAAAAAAACATTCACAATAAACAAAAAACTTAAACTGCAACTCCAAAAATGTAGTTTATGCACTTAAATGCACAAAATGTAAGAAGTCATATATAGGCATCAGCCAACAACTGAACAACAGGGTCTCCCTACACAAAAGCAATATAAAATTGACAGACAACAGAAAACTTTTTGTATCACAACACATTTTCAAATGTAACCAGGTAAGATTAATATCATGCCGATATATCAAACAGACAATTACTCGTATCTACAAATACAGGAAAAAAACTTTATAGACAAATTCAAACCCGAACTGAATAGATCGTAACCCCCCCCACAAAAAAAAAACAAAACAAAAAAACATGCACACAGGGTGACCAAATACAATGATCGCTCACATACATGGACGCACACTCATATACGGGAGACACGAGGAGATATATATATGTGTATGTACACATACATACATTTATGTATGTATATGCGGATGTTGACAACTTAAGAAGTACGTGTGTGTGTGTGTGTGTGTGTGTGTGTATGTGTGCGTGTGTGTGTGTGTGTACTGGTTCCATGTAGCTTGGGAAATATGTGTGTATATGTGTGTGTGTGACTACTTGTGTGGTGGGATAGTGTGTATGTGCGTATGTGTGTGTGCGTGTATAAGTACAAACAAGTTTACGAATTCTTCGTAGTAAGGAAATATACGCACGCATATATACACGCATGCTGACAGGAACACGCCAAAATAGAAACAGATCCAAGAGCACATAGAGGTCACTAAAACATTAAAAGATTAAATGCCGATAACTACTCGCTGGACAAACCTTAATTGTTTTATGACCCTTCACGCAGAACTCTTCATTGACAATTCTAGAAAGAAAATTCGGATTGCCAACACACAAACAGAATGTCTCATATCGAGAATATTCCACAATGAACATGAAGAAAAATTAATTATTTTTAATAATATGTAAAAATCTCCACTTTCACCTGAAGACGGTTCGCATGACCAGACCAGAAACACGTGTCGTGAAATTATGTAAAACAAAGTATAATATTTTTTCTCAATAAATCCACATTACAACCAAAAACGTTTGCGGCACCCCTCTTCTTTTTAATATATATATATATATATACACTGCGTGCCAAATTATTATCAAGATAACTTTTTTCTAATATTTCAAAAACCGTCGAATCAATTCACACAAAATTATCACACAATGTTGACAACACTGATCTGCGCAATCACTGAAATTTTCGTACTGATCTGCGCAATGTAAACAAACTGGCACCATATTTGTTATCAGTGCGATGATTTGAGCGTGCCAAATTATTAGAAAAGTGTTTAGTGAAAAGATGGGCCGCACTGATAACAAATATGGTGCCAGTTTGTTTACATTGCGTAGATCGGGTCAGTGTTGCCAACATTGTGTGAAAATCTTGTGTGAATTGAAATATTAGAAAAATAGTTATCTCGATAATAATTTGGCACGCAGTATATATATATATATATATATATATATGTGTGTGTGTGTGTGTGTGTGTGTGTGTGTGTGTAGACACAGAGTGTTTAATATTTATCGTTACACTCAGATTAGTTTTAATTTAACTTAAAAGTTTATCAATTTCTGGGATGTTATATGATTTATTTAATAGACCTAACCTGTATGTTATTTCAGACATTAGATTTAGAAATGGCTAAAAATTTAACTAAAAGAATCGTCAAATGTAAAAATCTCTCCGAATGACACTGCCAAATTAAAAATGACCTGAATCTTAGTTTGGAGGGCTATCAAAAGATTCAATGAGATAGGGGATATGAAAAAAAGTAAGGACAAGGTGGTCCTGGGACTGCTCGAACCTCGGAGCTCGTCAAATCCACTCGGGAGAAGCTGAGAAGACATTTGAAGAGGTCTCTCAGAAATCTTACGAAAGAGGCGAATGTGTCCATCGGAACCGTGTCAACCATTCTCAATAATGACCTTAAGACGTCTCCTTACAAACCCCAAAAGAAATCGCTGCTATCTGCAAATTCTGTGGAGAAACGATAAAAACCAGATGCCAATTCCTCCTCGAACGCATTCAGGCAGATATGCTTCCAAACACTGTGTTCAGAAATTTGACGTTCAACAGCATTTTAACAGCCAGAACCATCGGATTTCGTCTCGAACTGGAGACAGTAAGCCTTGAATAATTATTTAAAGACAAGGAGCAGCCTCAGTGATGGTGTCGGCTTCTGTGACTATAATATGAAAAAAGTCCTCCAGTATTTGTGGAACCAGAGGTTAAAATCAACCGAGAAAATTGTGTGAGGAATTACGTTCAAGAGTCTTTGAGTTCAAGAATCTTTGAGTTCAAGAATCTTTGAGTTCAAACTTTTGGCAAAAATCTTAGCACAAAATTGGAACTCTGAAAACTGAGTGTCTCGATTTTGTCTGAGAATAAATTATAATTCTTCAGTGTTGGTCCCCTGAAGTTCATCTAGCTGTAATGTGTGTCTTTCAAAAAACCATAGCAAAAATTATTGCCCCAAACAACGGCTAAGAAAAAGAAACAAAGAATGTAAAATGATGAAAATGTATCTCATTTGAAGGTTCATTTTTACTTTTAACGTAAATAAATGAATAAATAAATAAATTCACAATCCTCACAGGCATTGTATAGAAAGATTAATTGAATTTTCACCTTTCAATATATATATATATATATATATATATATATATATATATAATAATAAATTTCAGTCACGTGGGAAACGAAATCACGTGTACAAACGCTGCCTATTGAAAAACGTTACGAACATTTGTTTCAACACAATGTTTTTGGGGGTTTTTTTGTTTTTGTTTTTTGAGTGCGGGAGAAATACGCCGTCTAAAGTCGTTCAACCAAAAGCATCCCAAAAGAATTGTTCTGTTCCTACCCCCGAAAAAAAATAAAAATTGAAAGGGTGCGTGAAAGACAATCAGCATTTTCTGGCGATAATATGAACTTTTATTTTAGAAACTTAACATTATTATGTGTACAAGATTATATTGGAGGAGACTTGTTCAGCATCCCCCTCAATCATTCTTGACAAAGAATAAACGTCTTCCAAGACAAATAAAATACAAGTAGAAGCGAATCCAAATCTGTGTCTTCATAACTTTTCCAGAGAGTTGAGAGAGACACAGCGTGCGAGAAAGAGAGAGAGAAGAAACATAAAGAAAGAAAGAAAGAAAGAAAGAAAGAAAGAAAGAAAGAAAGACAAACAGACAGAGAACTCTGTGTAGAATTTGGTTTGGCAGTCTTATTTTCAAAACTACTTCAAAAATGAATCCATCGTTATGTCTAAAATCGATAGGCAGGTAGATTATGGACTTAAAGTGATAAACAAGGATTATTACAGGAAGATTTCAAATTATATTAAAAAAGAGATGGGGGATAACACAAACACACACACACACAAGGCATTCTGAATCTCATCATGAAAAGCGGACTTGTAAGTTTAGTCCTAAAAACGAAAAGAAAGCAAATAAGATGAAAACAAGATATTGGAACAATAGATGCCCAACAATAAAATAAACAAAATCTCTGATAATGGTCGGAGAGTGTACCAGCCAAAACCACTGTAAAGTGTGGAGGGTAGTATTGACTTCGTGCAGCTAACAAGTTGAATGCCGGTGCCCTGCAATAAACAAAACGAAGACTTGAATAGAAAATGAATGGCCAATGTTTACTGGGGTACGGAGATACAAGTTGCGGAGGTAGAAAGAATGGTCGACCTCAAATCAGCCGGACGTTGAGTGTGGCTGTAGTGGACCGTGGCTGTGATGTTGTTGAGTAGAAGTAGAAGAAACACATGTGGGTTAAAATTTTCCTGCTAGCCAGTCCAAACTACATGAGAAAGTTGGACTTTAATTAAGTCCAAAGAAGAAGGCAAAGAAAAACAAACACAAGACCGATAATATATGTATACAAATATATATATTAATAACAAGTTACATGGAAACAGTTACAAAGGACATAGTGTGTGTGTGTGTGAATATTATATATGTGCGTGTGTGTGTGTGTGTGTGTGTGTGTGTGTATTGTGCTTAGCGTGTTCCCAGCATTTGGGGAACGCTAACTCTGGTGAGCGTTCACATCTTCGAGGTAATAAGGCTGAAAGCCTGAGGAAAAAGAGAGATTTACCTCCGGATGTCGGCCCAAAGGCCTGAGGAAAAAGAGAGATTTACCTCCAGGTGTCGGCCCAAAGGCCTGAGGAAAAAGAGAGATTTACCTCCAGGTGTCGACCCAAAGGCCTGAGGAAAAAAAGAGAGATTTACCTCCAGGTGTCGGCCCAAAGGCCTGAGGAAAAAGAGAGATTTACCTCCAGGTGTCGACCCAAAGGCCTGAGGAAAAAAAGAGAGATTTACCTCCAGGTGTCGGCCCAAAGGCCTGAGGAAAAAGAGAGATTTACCTCCAGGTGTCGACCCAAAGGCCTGAGGAAAAAAAGAGATTTACCTCAGGTGTCGGCCCAAAGGCCTGAGGAAAAAGAGAGGAAGAGGCGAAGGGTCAGCGACTATTTATAGCCAGGAAGAGAGACCCCTGGTGAAAGGGTTAACGAACTAAAGGAGGAGTTAACTCCGACATGGCTGACTGAATCTCCTTTTTGTTGGGACGGCTACCAAACACGTCCGAAATCAAGGGTTGGGAAGTGAAAAAGAAAAAATCATCTACTTTCCGGAAGGTTCGTCATGAAATTCACACGTGACCGGAAACTATTTTGGCTTCCTTTTGCAATATGGGAAAATTCTTTACTTTTTATTATTATTTTTCTTTATTATTTTCTTTATTATTTAATTTTATTTAATTCCACAAAAGCAAACAAAAAGATCATACCTTATCTCAGGACGTTAGTTGTTATTAATGTTCAGTTGTGAAATTGAAAACAAATTATGGGAGCCTGTGACATGATAAGATTTCTCCACCAAGAATGTGTCCTGGTATACCAACTCATCTTAGTAATAACTATTTTGAAAATATATTCAAATATTTTTATCGCCAGTCTCTAAAGTAGACAACATATAACTGCAAAAGCATAACAACAACAAAAATTTTACATTAGAAAGACCCACTTTTGCCTTAAAGAGAAATTTTGTGCAGAGGTTATCATTTTCTAGCTTCAGTGAATGATTTGTAAAATCCTCAGACTTTACTGACTCCTAACACGTCTCCCTGCCAAGGATTGCTCTTGTCTAAAATAATAGGGTGTGGTTAAGTATTAACATTTACAGAGTGAAAATGCCACAGCATGATAATTGTTTGGTTGCAGTAGTTTGTGTTCTCATCAACAATTTGTTATTGGTCACAATTCGACACATAAAGGGGGACACTTCTCTCTCCTTGTGCCTCCAGACAAAACTGACCAGAAATTAAAGGGTAGAAAGAAAATTGTCTTCCTAAATTTCACGTACACTATATATATATATATATATATATATATATATATATATATATATATATACAGGGGGCCGACACTATTTTTCAGACACTTTATTTTTTCAAGTTTTAGGTAGCACAGTCAGTCTGTACTGCTTTAGTGTAATGGCAATAACATTTAAAAACTGTTTCAATACTACAAATGGAAAAGCAGAATTCAAATTAGAAGTATTTTATTTTTTTTACAAATTTTCACATTACACAGGTGACAGTATTTTTCGGACATTGCAGAAACAATGCTAATAGTTTATGGCAGCACCCTTTATTTTTCAATGAATTCTATCAGTCTATCTTCATAATGTTCGTACATATTGATAATAACGTCTCTTCGTGTTTCTAGCAGTCTATTTTTAACATCTTGTATGCGCTGCCACAGATCAGCCTCTCTGGTTATTTCTGGCCCGTCGTAAACAAGCTCTGCAAGCATTTCCCAAATGTTTTTTAATTAAATTTAAGTCTGGACATCTTGCAGGCCATTCCAGAGTAGTTATATTTGCTTCACACATCCAATTTTTCACTGATTTGGCCACATGGATGCTGCAGTTATCTTGCTGCAAAATAAAATTACTTCCCATTTCTTTTTCTATGAGTGATAGGGCTCTCTTTTCGAAAACTTCTCTGTAGCTCAAGCTATTTTGACGTCCTTTTAACCACTCGAGTCACAAGTTTCCATTCGGAAATACCATACCCCAATCAGGTTCACCTTTTCTCGGCCATGTACACCACCCGTCAGGTCCATCGAACTTAAAACGTTTTTCATCAGTAAATATCATTCTTGAAGTCGACATGATTTGTTATCCATCTTTTGGCGCTTCCCAGCCTTGCCTCCTTGTGTTTTCTCGTTAGTGTAATTCTTTTCTTGATTTTAGCATACTTAAGTCCAATTTCGTGTAGCTTTCTTTGTACAGTTCGAACACTGACGTCAAGTTCTCAATTCTTCACTTTCTTCGCTGTCACCTTTTCTCCAGTTGATAACAACCTCGTAACACTCCTCTTCATTCTTCTTTCTGTTCTCTTGGAAAATGTTTTTTCCGTCCTCTCTTCTTCTTCCGCTCATAGTCTGTACTTAGCATGTATTCAACTGTTGACTTCGGTAGCTTCATATCAGCAGCGATCTTTCACATGCTGAGCCCGTCTTCTCTCTTCTTTTGGACCAAACTGATGACTTCTTTTGAATGCATTCTTCTTCAGGATTTTAATACGTTTTCGCAGTGAATGGTAAAGATACTCAAATGTAATGGTCAGGGTACAATTTACCTGCAGAAAATTTGCATATTGTAGACGTTCGACGACTAAATCATTAAAAAAAACCCTGGAATTTGTGTCATGTTCGAAAAATAGTGCCTAAGTTGAAGTAAAAATAAAGAAAACATGAAACCAAAGACAAACCCATCAATCAATGTTCATACCATTAATGGACAGTTACTGCTGAACTACCTACTCATCAACACAAAAGCTCTCGGCAACAAAAAACACCTTTAAGCACACTTTTCAAAGTGTCCCTAAAATAGTATCGGCCCCCTGTATATATAGTTTTAAGGTGTGCAATATTTATGGGATAAAGTGCTCAATATCAGAAATAGAACGTATGTAAATATGAATATAAAAATGAACATTGAAGTCAACACTCAGCCTCTGAGTGTTGACTTCAATGTTCACTTATATATATATAAAAGGAAGAGGTTATAGTAGTTGCAACGAGAGAAAAGTGTGTATATTAAAAAGAAGAGAGAAGCCGCAAACGTTTTTGGTTGTAATGTGGATTCTAAAAAAATTATTATGTTTTATTTTCCATAATTTTGCTACCTGGGTTTCCAGTCTCGCGACCGTCATCAGGCAAAAGGTGGAGATTTCCACATATTATTAAAAATAATTCATTGTTTTTCTTTATGTTTTTCGATGTTAAATATTTTCGATATGAGACATTTTCTTTTAGTGTTAGTGATCCAAACGTCTTTCTTGAACTGGCAGGGAAAAGTTCTGCGTGAAGGGTTATAAAATAGTTAAGATTAGTTCGAGAAATGATGGAGTAGTTATCGGCATTCTTATCTTTTAATGACCCCTGTGTGTTCTTAGATCTATTTCCATTTTCGTGTGCTTTTGTCAGCATGCGTGTATATATGTGCATATCCCTTCTCCATACATACACACTGTCTCAGTACGAGGAATCAGTGAACGCATCTGTACATCCACACACACATACACAAACACACACATATACGTCCCATTATAAGGAATCAGTACATACAAACACACACACATACACACATATGTACATACACATACTTCCCAAGTTACATGGAATCAGTATACATACACACACACATACATACACACATATATATGTACACACATACACACATACTTCCTAAGTTGTGTGGGGTTTGTGTGCGTGCCTGTGAGTAGTTCTGATTTTATCAATGTGTGTATATATATATATATATATATATATATATATATATATATATATATATATACAGTGTATCACAAAAGTGAGTACACCCCTCACATTTCTTCAAAAGAAACTGGGTCGCAGAGCAGTGTTCCAGCATGACAATGACCCCAAACACACATCCAAGAAAACCACTGCTTTACTGAAGAGGCTGAGGGTAAAGGTGATGGACTGGCCAAGCATGTCTCCAGACTTGAACCCAATAGAACATCTTTAGGCCATCCTCAAGCAGAAGGTGGATGTGCGCAGAGTCTCAAATATTCGCCAGCTCTGCGACGTTGTCATTGAGGAGTGGAATAGCATTCCAGTGACTACCTGTGAAGCTCTGGTAAACTCCATGCCCAGGAGA